TTACAACAATGGCATGGTGTAGTAGTCACTGATGAGTCACGTCTTCATCTACATAATGCGTGTTTGGCGTAGACGTGGTGAACATTATGCTGATGAGTGTGTGGTTCAGACAGACCTTTGGGTAGTGGGAGTGTCATGGTCTGGGGTGGAATAAATTACAATCACAGGACTGCCTTCATGTCTGTCAAGGGAGAGTTAATGCCCTTTATTACCGAGAGCAGATTCTTCAGAATCACATCGTATCTATCTTCAATCACCACCAAGATGTCCATACTTTTCAACAGGACAACACATGGGCACACACAACAAGACATTTCATGCAGTATCTGGCCCAGCAACACATCCAGGTTGTTCACTGGCCTGCACAGTCGCCAGATGTATCCCCCCATGGAGCACTTGTGGGACGAAATTGGTCAAAGTCTTTCGCGGCGACAACAGATGCGAAACATCCAGGAACTTGAGGCTGCACTACTGCAGAAGTGGAATGCCATCCTCAAGAACTCTATTCGGACGCTTATTGACTCAATGAGGAGACGTTGAACTGCATGTGTCAATGCAAATGACGGTCACATGCGATATTGACTTTTCGTGACCCCACGTGTGTTTGATCCTTTCTGACTGTGGGACATTTCAATGAATGAGCGTCTTTTCTGTGTTGTTGTTTTTGTCATTTGTCCATCTCTTATTATCCACTCAAAAAAATATCAATTCCTTACGCATGCTTTTAATAATCTGAACTTTTATAAGTGGTGCGTTTTCAATGATGTTCAGTATATTTAAAAGTTGTTACAAATGAAATTTCATTTATACACATTATCACACTCAGTGTCAATCATTCTTAGTTCATCACTCACAATTTTCCTCACAACAATATCAATCATTCTTAGTTTATCAGTCATCAATAGCAGATTAAAGAATGAAGCAGTGTTCTAAGACAATGTTGTTGTTTTGAGGAATGCGACGGAGCATAATCACCTGCTCTAAAGGATAGCCAGAAGGTCCGGTTTGTCAGCAACCTGAGGAAGAGAGCGCGGGAGGAGTCAGCATCGATGCACACCCTCTACAACAACGAGATTACGAACTTGGACGATGATATGATACCATTAATGCCATCCTTCCCGACCATGAGCAGTGCTATGTACTGCCATCGACAGAAGACAATTCCTGTTTTGCCGCAGACGAGATCGGAAGTGAACCTTCAAGATTCCTGGATGCAGACAGCAGATGGTCGACCCTTCCTCCTGTTTTCAGATGGTGATGACGATAAGATCCTGGTATTTGGCACCATGGATAGTCTTCAGGCCTTGCAGTCTTCTGAAATCATCTATATGGATGGAACCTTTACTGCCTGCCCTGGTCTGTGGAATCAAGTGTACATCCTACATGCAAACGTGGAACCACAACCTATCCCCTCATCTTCACCTTACTCCCCGAACATCAGACTGAGACCTACTCCAGACTCTTCAGACTCATCAAGAATGAAGTTCAGCAGAGACTTAACCGGACGCTTGCCCCATCCTGTCTCCAGACAGACTTTGAGCTGGCGGCAATTCATGCTATAGAGAGAGAGTTTCCGACTGCTGAAGTGAAAGGTTGCTTCTTCCACTACTGTCAGGCCATTTGGAGGAAGGTCCAGGATCTGGGACTTGCTGTTGCTTACAGAGAGGATCTGGAAATATCCAGATGGGTAAGAGGAGCGGCTGGACTACCCCTTTTACCCCAGAACAGTATCCAGCACACGTGGGTTGACGCCATGGACGACGCTCCCGATGTACCAAGAGCGGCCACCTTCAACGATTACATGGTGACTACCTGGGTCGACGACGACGCAAGATTCCGTCTGCCACTGTGGAACCATCACTCAACAACAGGTCCAAGGACAAACAACAACCTAGAGGGATTCCACAACCACCTGTACCGGGGACTCCCACATCGACACCCCAACATCTACCGATTTGTGGAGGTGATCAGGAAAGTTGAACACGCTGAGAGAGCGAAAATTTCCCAGATAGACTTTGGAGCAGCACAGAGAAGCAGAAAGAGAGTGTACAGAGAGATGGAGCATCGTTTGTGTCGCCTCAAGGAGCAGCACAATCTTGGGCTGAAAACACCAATGCAGTTCCTTGACGCTGTGGGCCATCTCCTCAAATTGGGATAGAGACTTGTTTACAAGACAAAAATTAACATTAAAAAGTTAACATGACCTGCTGCTCATATACATGTCACGACCAGGAAGATATCTGTGTATTATATTCATTTATTTGTGTAATTAAATCCATAAATGAAAACATTAAATCTTGTGTTCATGTGTTTGGGCTAGTCCATTGTCCAGGTAACAGGTAACAGGAAGGGGATTAGAGTGCATTGGACCGTGAACTTTGTTGTCAATAAGCTGTAGGGGTAATGGGATGTAGGGGTAATGGGAGGATACCGAGTGGACAGGCCATTCATTTATTAGGGGTCACCAGCTTGGCCCAAATTAGTAGTGTGCTATTTTTATTTGCGTTTTGGGAGGTCTGCATTTTGGGAGGTCTGGTTATGGGAGTAAAGCGCCTGATTTGCCTTGTTTAAAATACTAATGTTGAGCACTTCACCAGCACAGCACACAAGCCACTGTAGACTAAGACGGACCAGACATTCCTACAGTATTTTGTGTATTTCACAATTATGTACTTGTATATGGTGCCTAATCAGTTATAGTAAAATCATGTTTTCTTATTATCTATATAATCAATATAGGTATAACCCAAAATGTAATTCAACTAAAACAGTAAGTCTATACACGGTTTAATTCACCTAAACATCAGCTTTTCACTGTCCTATTTCTGTCCTTGAGAATGAGTGAGCGAGCATATACTTTTTATCATTTATGTGTTTGTCTATAACTATGTATGTTTTGAAGTGTTCATAGGTATGGTTCATACATGGAATGTTACCCAGTCTTTCAATAGTATTTATATTTGTATATTTATTTGTATTTAGATGCAGTTGATATAATCAACTGGTGCAGTCAGTCCACGCCCCAGTACAACCCACAGGGTACGCTTGTAGCTCTTTTTGTGTATATAAAAGTAGTCTTTATGCATATCATATGTATACATAGTCAGTGTAGTTTATTTTTGAATGTATTTGATAAATGTGTTAGTTAACTACATTATACCACGTCATCCGTTTGATTAAATGTGTGAATATATATGAATATAAATATGAATTGTAATTGTGATGTACCCTTACATACGCATTTGTACATACATGTACTTATTGTTATATATATGTTTCAGGGCATTTGTTCTGACTTTGACTCCTCCAATAAATCCTTCAAACTCAATCCCGACCTGTGTGTCATGATTGAACATCCCCGGTTACATATCCTACTGGGAACATGTAACAAACACATCCCCGGTTACATATCCTACTGGGAACATGTAACAAACACATCCCCGGTTACACACCCTACTGGGAACATGTAACAAACACATCCCCGGTTACATATCCTACTGGGAACATGTAACAAACACATCCCCAGTTACATATCCTACTGGGAACATGTAACAAACACATCCCCGGTTACATATCCTACTGGGAACATGTAACAAACAATGTCATCATCCAAAATGTGATTTACTGTTGTGCGCAAAGGCCACGGCCGTGTGAATATAGTTTGATAGGGTGCACAAATAGATTTTGAATCATTTGGGTTGGTTAATTTATCGCATTCTATTAAATTAATCATGGTATTATCTATATAATTTTAGCCATGCCACCGGGGCACATTGAAAATATTTCATATGTGCCATTTCAATATTTACCGTGCCCTGGTACGCAAATTAAGCCCTATTTCGTTCCCAGCAAAACACACACAAAATATACAATAAAAACATTTGAAAGCAAATGGATCAAAGTAGACTTGCAGCCATGAGTATAATACCATGTAAGCAGTGGACAGTTGATGACTATCAATGCCTTCATGTATGTCATCATATCATCTGTTGTTTTTGGAGCTTTCCCATATTCACACAACCTCAAATAATCATCATAACATCATATAATTATACCCTGTTTGTTCTCTGATCAGCCTCTAACAACCTCTTCCGTCCTTGTAACTTGTCATACATGTATGGCATCTGTGTTTCTGAATCTCCACCAAATCTGCCACCAAGATGGGAAGGAGACAGGTCTAATGAGTGACTGTATCATATTTGGCTGTTCCCACCCATCTTATGTAACACATTTTGTCTGGCCCAGACTTCACTGTTTATGGGAGCATCAATGTGCATACATATGAAACAGTGAGTGAGTGAGTTTAGTTTTATGCCACACTCAGCAATATTCCAGCAATCTGGCGGTGGTCTGTAAATAATCAAGTCTTGAACAGACAGTCCAGTGATCAACAGCCTGAGCATCGATCTATGCAATTGGGATACGATGACATGTACCATCCAAGTCAGCGAGCCTGACCACCCGATCCCTCCCGTTAGTGGATTCTTACGACAAGCATGGGTTACTGAAGATCAATTCTAACCTGAATCTTCATGGGTACATATGAAACAGTGTGCATACATATGGAACAGTGTGCAACATGTCCTTATATGCATATGTAGGTATACGGAACATAGGATCGAGAGGGACAAAGGACCCCAGATATCATCCAGTTGTACACAGCTGACTGACCACCACAGGTAGGACAACACCACAACAAACTGGTCTGTCTTGGACAACTATAGTCTCATGCTGTGAAAAACAAGCATTTGTGATGGTGTGAAAATAATGATTAATTACTTCTGTAAAGATCGTCATGTGTGTAGGATGTGTGTAACTGCAATAAAAGTGGTCATATATGTATATTCCAAAACGCACAATGAAGCTGACGCTGTGATGTGTTTAGCCCAGTTTGCAGCAGCCTGGAATTTCTCACTGAGCATAATTGCCAACTGTTATGAAACGTGGTTTGCTGTATGGCGCTGTCGATGTTTCATGCCTGGATAACATGATCAACTCACCTTGCCTCCTTTTACCTTAACCTGCTCCATGTCTCATCGAAGTTACAAACGCATGCATCTAATACTATGTGGTTCCAACAGCAAACTTGACCTGTATGCTGCAGTGATGAATGCATGCGTCAGCTGTGCTGGGTCAACACGTACACAGCTTGTATCGCCGGCTGATCACCAATACCATAAACTGGCGGATTTCAATATGTGACATTGTTGCTCAAAGGGAGGTAAACTCAACTGATTACAATTAATCGATATGATTCCTGGAAACCGACATAATGCACAATGACACACAACACCCTGTATTTTATCTAAATAACGACGTTATTTGAATTTTAATTATAACTTTAGCAGTCTTATCTTAATTTGACCACAGACCGACCAAAAAAACAACATTTTTACAACAGTCATCGATCCTGTATTTCAGCTCGCGCTGTGTACCTTGGGTGCTCCAGAAACCTATGACTGTGAGTTGGAATCTTTGCTCATCAACAATGGATGGTGGTAATAATGTGGTCCTCTTATTGTCACCACATTATTACCACCATCCATTGTTGTTGTTGTTGTTGTTAGTCCCTTTGATTCATACCTCCATGTTGTTATTACTCAATCCCTGTTGATGTATATAAGTCCGTTCTGTGCTGTACATAGTACTTCACTCTTGCTTGACAAAGGTATAAGAATCCATGCCGAAACGTCGCATCGTATTATACTTATGCCCCGTTACATGTATAATAAGAAACATGTTATCCATAAAGAATGTTACTTTCTTATTACTAACCAACTTCTAAAATGCCAATCAAACAGATCATGTACAATGTCGTTGTTCTGTTGGCTCTCTCTCTCTCTCTCTCTCTGTCTGTGTGTGTGTGTTAGTACCCTTCTCTGTTGGCTCTTTATAATAACACCCAGTTGCAAAGATATGTGTGTGTGACACCCTCTTCTCTGTTGGCTCTTTATTGCCCATATGGGAAAGAGGACTAAGGTAGTATTTTTTTCCTGTAAGTCCCTAGGGAGGTTACACCTTTTGTTTTACGTTAAAGGGCAAGTGTACACGAATAAATCACATTTATTCTTATGTGAATCAAAGTGAACTGTTTTAATTAGTTAATACCAATGTTTGAAAATATACACTCATTTTTCTTACAACGTAAGTATAACCCTCAAAATAAGTGCTGAAATGTTATGCCAATATGAGGTATTTTTTTGCCGAGCTAAACAGGCCAGAGTTACCGCCCTTTGATTATGACGTAATTGGTGCCACTTGAATTTAAACTGGTCTCCTGTCTAGTCCCAAATCAAAAGATAATAATACTGATATTAATCACGTGAAAAATAGTTCGCGAAAATACGAAGAAGCATAAGAACAGAAAATGTAAGCAGCAGGACGGATTGGTCGTGTGTATTTTCATTCATAACCTCGCCTCAATGAAAATACCAAATATGTATAACAATGTTGACGTCCGTATGACATCACTATCGCGAAGCGACTTTTTCAAAATGGCGTGTTCACTGACACGAGTTTTCGAAGGACATTTTCGTTGTTTCAAGCAACGTATATGCATAAATGTGACATGTAAGTAGTCCCGAAACTTCTGACAGTCTGCTGGTTGTTATTTTCTTTTTGTTTTCATTGTGACCAAGGGGAAATAGTCAGAAATTAAGGGAAGTACCGTCATCGTTGTGCATGAGTTTGCGTCAGTTATGGCGTCATGCTTTCAAAAACTATAATATGTTGTGATGAATCTAGAAAATCATTGGCATACACCTGTTTTATTTAACTATCGCTTGCTACGATACCTTTCCCATGCATGTTCTAAAACTAATGAGCAATTGTATGCAACAAGTAGGCGAACGGATACACAGTGTAAAATCTGAGATTGGCTTTGTATACATTTCAAACAAGTATTCTTTCACAGCGCGGCAACTCATATCTTCGATTTATTTCGTTAGATTTCACTGAAACACTTCGTATTGGTGACAAAGTCCATTTGTCAGTTTATTTTGAACTGTATGAGGAATTCAGGGATTCATGTAAGGAAGATGGTGTTGAATTTTATGGACGAAACATAACCGACATACATGTGACGTGATTTTATAAACACTATGTAATATGGCTGAAACTTCACTTTGACGTTTGCGTATTTTCCAAAACATTCTCAGCGATTCTCGGTTCATTGATAATGTTTCAGAACGAGCATTGGTGATTCGATCATACAACAACAAAACTACTGCTGATCACAATGATACATCTTTTTCTTTTAAATTCAATTCTCCCAGTAAAATTTGACATTTTACCATAAATTACGCAAAACGCAGTGAATGGTGATTTAGTAATGTGTCAAAACTGGCGAGATTTACGATGCATGTAATTTTTAGTAAATTTTATCTACAATCAGCGGATGCTATCATAGAAAAACGAATTTCAAACAGTGTTCAAAACTGCAAATTGCATTTATCTGCGTGCTGTAGAGTACTATCGATATAAAAGTGAATTAGGTGGAAGAGGAGTGACATATCGTACGATTTATGTAAGAACTTTAGTAACAAACGTAGAATGCCGGCACATTCACCGATGGCAAGCAAGATGTAGTGCATATACGTTTTATAGGTTTCATGAAAAAAGGTACTGTTGGAAAGACGACCGACTCAGGTTGTATATGTTATACAATTTGGTTACGTGGTAACACTCTTAGTACAATGTATACGTTTTTTCAAACTGCAACGTCATTACAGTGTAGAACTGACCACATAGCCAGCTGACGGCCAAGCAACAGGTGGATTAAAACAGTAGCCTGCGCATCGAGACACAAGAACCACACCTATACCTGCACCACGTGAAATGGGTCTAATAAGGTCTGACGACGTCATTCGTTTATCGTTTGGGCACCAATGACGTCATTTCCAAGGGACATAAGCCATGGTGTTTTTATTGTGGACATAGAACTCTTGGTAAATGTTGAAAATATGAATTGATATAACGCAAATAATAAATTAGTTACTTCTGATTTATGTACGGGTTTGGATATAAAACGACTTGATAAACACTTTTTATGAAGAAAACGTGCAAGACAAAAAGGTTAATTTTCGTGTACACTTGCCCTTTAACTGGCTGCTTCAGAAAATAAACGATTTCATTTGTTAAAAACGATATGCCGGAACTACTTCATTCATCTTTTCAATTCATTCGTTGTTTTACGCTCAAACTTTCATGCACACGAAGTAGTATGGTGACCGCACATTTCCGAGGTGACGTAACGTGACACAACCTCGAAAATATGCAGCCACACTGACGTCATACACGTATGACGTCACGATAGGTCTCGTGACGTCACGACCTACAAACGAAGGTAGTGACGTCACTGATGGTGACGCAACCTCGAAAATATACTGCCACACTGACGTCACGACCTACAACGATGATATTGACGTCACAAAAAGTGGCGATGATCTGTGGTCATCAGGTGTGTGCGCGTACGTGTATTGTGTATGTGACACCTACTGATGACGTCACACAAACAAAAATGGCGACCATAAGAATCCGTCCGTCAAGCTAAATTCTCAATTGCTCTCAGACGCGTTTTTACCTCATAAATACACCATTAGCGTGCCAATAATATTTGAGTTTTTGAAGGAGGCTAGGGAATCTCGTGCTGTCTATGTAAAGCTCTCTACAATACTAGACCGCAAGAAATACCTAGACACTCTTAATCACACGACCACTCCGTCTGTGTAAAGCTCTCTACAATACAAGACGGTAAGACGGTGATATTCTACATGAAACAAAATGTGAGGTAGAAAACGGCAAAGCAGCAAGAGTAGTACGGAGTGTTACGTTCTTTACCTCGTATCGTAAACCCAATGCGGGCACGAATAACAATTTTGAAGGTCTGTAACTGTCGTGCTGCCAATGTAAAGCTCTCTACAATACTAGGCAGCAAAACAAATGTAACAAGACACTCAAAAATAACACGCCCTCCAGTTTATGTAAAGCTCTCTACAATACAACACGGGAAGGCGGTTATATTCTACCAAATACAACAAAGAAGATATTGAGTCGGGCAGTCTATGTAAAGCCCTCTACAATACTAAACCGCGCTAGCACCGTATCCTTCATTGTTTAAACCACCCCAAAATATACCCACGAGGCAGACAACGTCAACACTTTTATATAAAACACAAGAGAGGCTAGTAAAAACAACATTTCACAAATTTTATTCGTAAATATGCACAACTACATTTCTACTCACAAAACAGTTCTCATGTCAGTATCAAACCTGACGGGGCACGTGATTTTGAGAAATGCGCACGAAGGGTTGAACCTGTTGTGTTCAAAGTCTATATCGTCTTCTGCACACCATTTCCATAGTCTTAAACCACACCATGCACACACGACCTTGTCCGCAACGCCCGTATAAAAGAATCCTCTCCGGGCTAGCTGCCTTCCTTTTTGAACCATTTGTTCTGGCCAGTCCTGGAAAGAAGCCATCCTGGTGTAGCCGCTGATCATTGTTTCGTGGCAGTAATTCTGGCTTAAATCCGTCAACAGTTTCCTAGGTTCCCCCATGTGTCTCCGCGTGTACCCGCAACTGTCTTTCACCGTTTCTCCTCTACTCTCCCTGTCGTGAAACGGTAATTGAATCCGTTACCACGTTATCATCGCTGAAACGTGGGAGACCATATTTTCCGTCCACCGACAAGATGTCTTCGTTTCCAGAGTCCAGTGATGGCGATACTTCTCCCTTCTTATTGAAGAAAAGTTTACATCTTTCTCCATCCCTCTGCTCATTATGCGAATCCGGAACGTAGTAGCAGGACATCGTTGTACGGAGCACTCAAAATATACAACCTCGCTCTCGGGCAGACGGCTTCCAACTAGCTACTGCGTGTCGGTGTGCGTGATACTCTCGTCACCATCAGCGGTTACGTGCGAAAAGAAAGGGGGGCGTGACCTAAGGGCGCCTCGCCCTGTCATTGGACGGTAAGGGGTCATGACAGTATGGTTTGAGAGTGGTCAAGTGCGTGGTCATATACACCCCAATGGTCCCGAAGGGTAATTGGGCGTGTCATAGCCGTAACAATACACGCTCGGTACGCGCAGTAGGAAGACGAAAATCGCCTCTATAATCTTACACACGATATATCCACGGCTTATAGTATATTGCTGCTATTAGGTCTAACCATCCTTTATTACACAATCGTTGTGTGTCAACAGCATTGCCTCTACACCCCTACGTACGTTGTCAATAGGTTTAATTGCTCTAATGGTCCTCTAATACACAGCCATGAGTGTCGATGCCGTCGTCTCGCCAGTTTTCCCCAATAACTCGCGTATTGTCACGAAAATTACCTCTACTACCATATACACCATTTCTCTCTGTCGATGTCTTCCATGGTGTGCGTTGGGCACTATAATCCTTTCAACTGCTGGCGTAAGGTGTGGTCTACCCAGCCCTTATTAAACAATCATTTCGACCACCGTGTGTGT